GGGGGAGGGAGGGGGGAGGGAGGGGAGGACGGAGCGGCAGCACTACTGCAGCTGCCATGGCTACGGGCAGTGGAGTCGGCAAGAGAGAAGCTACTGGAGAAGCTGCCAGAGACGGAGGTGCCCACACTGGCCAAGCTGCTCGAGGGACGCACAAAGCCACGGCTACAACACGACCTGACGGCCAGCCTGATGCGCATCGAAGCAGACTCCCTGCTGGACGAGTTCGGCGAGGAGTCAAGAGACCGCGCACGGCTGAGGAGCTGTCGAGGCCCAGAAGCTAGCGGCTGGCTGACGACGGTCCCGGCGCATCCGAGCCTGCGCTTCACCAACGAGGATTTCGTCACCTGCTGCCGTCTGAGGATCGGCGCCACCCAACACCACGGCGGGGGACATAGAGTGAAATGTCCTATCCAACCAACCGACCGATTTGGGCCGATTTTGTGGATCTTCAGCTGGTCCTATGGAACGATAGCACCGAAAACCGACAGGGCATTTATGAGATTTTCCTGTTTCCTACCTAATCCGTCCACCGGAACCGACACCGATTGGTTGAATGATGTGTTTCTTTTGACTGTTTCAGGCTACCTGCTGGCTGGATTAGAAGAAGAATTCGCCTTTCCGCCACGCAGTAACCATAAATGGCGTCTCTTGACTGAAAATAGGAGACACACACAAGAAAAAACCTGTGTTCGGTCGGTTTTTCTCTCTTTTCTATCTGTTTCCCAAGTAAATCCTTTCAGGTCCTACCTAATGAGAGCACCGAAAGCGACAGGTTTTCGGAGAGAGGGGGGAGGACAGATAAAAACCGACCGACCGGGAGGGGTTGATAGCGTGTCCCAGGAAACCTTATCGGTTTTCCCTTCATGTCCCCCGCCGTTCAACACCCTTCACTCGCATCGGACTTCTGCTCGTGCGGCACTCAGCTGGACCCCTATGGCGACCACCTCCTCTGCTGCGGCACAGGCAACGAGCGCATCTGGCGGCACGACCTGCTGTGCAAGGAGTGGCGACGCATCATCAGGAGCGTCCGGATCGCCGTCGACCGAGAGGTCAACCTGGCGCGTCTGGGCGTGTACCCGACCACCACCGATTCAGACGGCAAACGGATCGACCTTTACTGGGTGGAGGAGGAAAAAGGCATGCTCGGCGACGTCACCATCGCCCACCCCACACGCCCCGACCCCTTCACCAACAGATACCACGCGGCTACCAACAGGCAGAACGGAGCAGAGGACGGCAAAGCGCTGCGCAACGCGGCCGACAGGAAGCACAGCAAATACGGCACAGAGGCGAGAGCAAGCAACTTCACCATCATCCCACTGTCGGCGGAGAGCTACGGACGGTGGGGGGATGAGGCGGCTGCTCTTCTCAACCGTATGGCCCGGCACATGCGGCCATCTGTCCATATGGAGGAGGGCGACGTGGAGTTTTTCCGCGAGACAGCAGTGGAGAGGTGGTGGGCTCGACTTAGTGTGCTGCTGCAGAAGGGTAACGCACACATGGTGCGGAGCAGGGCGTGGCGGGGAAGCAGGTGGAATGGGCAGGAGAGGGCGGTTTTTGCTGAGGGGCTGTTGCTAGAGCGGGGGCCTTTCCACCCTCGTTGATTGCAGGGGGTGGGTGGGTGGGCGTGAATGGGTAGGTAGCGAATGCTTTGATCGTTGCTGTCAATAGTTTGGATGCGAACATGTAATCGACCGTCCCAGCGTATGGACACACGGACAATCTTACCCTTAACCACCACCACCAGCCAGATGACTGTGTCACGTTCAAAGACGAGAATCCGATGAAGCTGTTTTTCACTAACTGGCTTCGAAAGCACTTTCTTCCTCTGTGCCTTGTCAAAGGTCTTGTCGTCAAAAGGGAGAAAGATCTGAGATTTCGTTTTGACGATGAGATAGCGAACATTTTGTTCACCGGCTATCCCGATATCAGTGTGTACGACCAGATAGAAAAGAAAGTTCGTCTTGCAATAGATGTGAAGCCAGCTTTCCCACCTAAGATGTGCACTGCTGTGTCAAACGCACTTGCATTGGCTTGCCACTGTGAATGACGACGGGAAGCTCTGGGGGGACAGGGGTGAATCAGCCTTCTGGTTAGGTCAGCACATACTTCAGTCTCTCCCTGTTACGTGTCCTTCTATTCTGTTTGATTGTGAATGCATGTACTTGTCCTTTGGCAGTGTGCACACTCTTGTCAGCCGCCTGGAGGACATGGAGAGCGATTGCTCTCTGTTGTTTCCACAGGGTGGGGACTTTTCTAAGCTCAGGAAAGTAGAAGAGGACAAGAGGAAGACGAGAGCAAAGGTGCATGCGCTTCTCACTCCCATTTTTACGTACCAAGAGAGCTGGCTGCTGGAATCGAAACAGAAGAGGAAAGAGAGGTTGAGAGGGCTGGTGAGGGACCTGGTGTGTGTGCTTTCACTCAGGCCTTTGCTGTCTACAGCAGATGAGCAAAGGCTGCTGAGGGAGACCACGGATAAGGAATGGTCGTTGGCAAAGAAGTTAGCCCAGAAAAGGTCAGCACCGCAGCAGAAGGGCAAGGGAAAAGGACGGAAAACAATATAACCTCCCTGTGCGTGGTGTTGATGCGTGTACCACACTGTGAGTGTGTGCATGTGAGCTTCTGCGTGTCTTGACCCCTCTGCGTGTGAGTGTGTGAATGCATTCAATGCGGATGTGTCTCTGCACAGCCTCGGCATCACCCCACGCACCTGACGACAACCCCAACAACCGACTGTATGCTTTTCTTCTCCTCTTTGGTCACCCTTGTGTGCATATGTTCGTTTTGATGTGCCCTGAAATGTTTGTCCCCTGTGGGTATCCAAACACTCAATTCGTCTACTCGGCTTCCTCTGTGTGTGCACATGCCAGCCTGTGCATTGTTGCGGATCGTATGCTGTGCGTCGAAACTTCTCGCATGAAATGTAATCGATTTCAGAGTATACACAGAGTATACACAGAGAACTGGCCACGAAGTGTGTTAGTCCCCGTTCCGTCAAGACTTTTCAGTCCCGAACATCCAGACCTCCAAAATCACATAATAAGATGTCCCAACAATAAGGACCCATGTCACTTTGCTTCGTTGTGAGACACGAACCCATCCACTCAAATTCAGTGATCATGCGCACAGCTCACATGAACTACTTAGGAGGAAAAAAAAGAAAGATCTGACAGGTAAAATGTCAGGCAGCAAAAGGCCATCCATCTATCTCAGGCGACCGTCAACGCACACCGTCCCCCCGCCTCCCTCACTCATGCTCGTCCCGTTACAAAGCTGAATGGACAGGTCTCGGCCAGGGAAAATCCCACGAACACCCTCAGAGACGACTGAGAAGGATAGTACAGCGGCGTGCCGTTGATGTCGTCCGTTTTGTCAGGTCGAGCAGCTTGATCTGACTCAGCCTTGGCTGTGTCGAAGGAAGTCGGTGCATCGCTTTGCATCCACACGGTGTGAATGTCCAGGCCGCCATCGAGAAGACCCTCATTCTCGAGGGCCTGGAGAGCCCGCTCGATCGTTGGCTTCCTGCTGTCCGGAGAGTCAGTCGCTTCTTTGCACTGGTAGCCCCAGATGTGGCGCAGCTCCCCGTCCTCGACGACGAAGACAAAGAAATCCCAGCCCTCGAATTGGGGGCTCTTGGGCTTGACGAGGTAAGTCACGTAGCCTTCGTTCATGTCCTTGCGCACTCCATCGCCATTGAACCACTCGATGAGCTGCGGCAGGTCCCTCTTTGAATCCGGCGATTCCACAAAGCCTCCGAATGGGCAGCCACGGTTACTTGTCACCGGAGGCGGCAGAAGGTCTGCTGGCATGCCGGTCAGCAACGATGTGGGCGACTCGGATCCATCCATTGCCGTAATGTGGCTGTCCAGCAGTCGTAGAAGTACGGCAGCCGCCGCCACCCCCTCCCACCGCTTTCCAGAGCCTCGGGGCTCCAGCAGCTGTCTCAGGAATCGGTCCACCTGGCCGATATCGGCAGCAAAGTGGTAGCCAAGCTGCTCCTTGACATAGATTGACGTGCCCAAGTCCGTGCAAGCCTGGCCCAGGTAGCAGGGAGGCCACACACATCCATTACCATAGACGTCCAGATTCGCCGCCATCGTGCCGAGCGACTCAATGTATGGGGCCTTAGGCGAGGGAGCCTTTAGGTCCCCCACAATCGCCGAGCGGATGACAGCTTTGGCTGTAGATGCGTCGACAATCGATGTGCTGACAGAGAAGTAGGCCAGCACATCGTCCTCGTCGCGGGAGGTCGCGCTCTGTAGGTACAGCTGAAAGAGCAGCGCAGGTGCTCGGCCAGTCCAGCATATCTCCCCTGAAAGGCAAACAGAAAAAGCAGATACTCAGAGCAAGCTTCCTCAGCTTGTTCTTGCTAGAATCTCACCATGGTCGGCGGAGGGGCTGATGGCCGCTGCCTCGGCTAGCGTCTCGATACGCGGGAGCTGGACCTTGTAGACTTTGCGGGCGCTTCTGCTGTTCACCCAATAATTCCCGATGCTTCTCCCCACGGTAGCGACGTGACTACTGAAGATGAAGAAGCGATCTTTCGGGCCCAGACACCTAGACCTGATGAAGCCAGCCAGCGCTTTCGCCCCCATCGGGTCCTCTGATCCCTCCACATCCAGTGTCGCCAGGGTCTCCTTCGTGAGAAGCATGTTGAGCTCATCCACGATGAGTATGAGGGGACCGATGAGCCATCTCTCCAGAAGGAGCCGATCAAGAGAGACGTGGTCTCTCCAGTCTTCGAACGAGATGTCACCCAGGTCCTTGCCGATCTGCTTCGCCAGACTCGCGACTGTCTCCCCTGTTGCACAAGCCCACGTCATCCGCAGCACCATCGAGTCCAGCAGAGTCAACTCGCTGCGCTTGTGGAGGTCTTGCTCTGCCTCTGACATAATGGTACGTCCATTGAACGTGATGAAAAGCACCGGCTTGCCCTTCCGTTGCAGCTCGGCCCCGAGCACCTTCAGACACCGAGTTTTGCCCCCTCTCGCGAACCGCGTCAGCGCCGCAGGGCCCACCCGCAGGAGATCCGTGTCAGCGAGCTCGAATAGGGGTAGAATTTAGTTCTCGACCTTTTGCTGCACTCTTTTGAGGCCGACGTAGACATCAGGCTCTGGACGGCAGACTGTCGTCCGGACGGACGGGGAGTCTGAGACGAGTGTGGGCACAAGTGGAGAGTCGCGCTGACTGCCTGAGTCCGTGAGCTTGTCCAGTGAGATGATGTGGCTTTCTGTGATCGGAAAGTCGCGAAAGCGGTGGGCTTGTCCAACACCGGCGTCTGCATAGTCATACGCAAACACATCGAAGGAAGAAGTGGCGCACATGCTCATTGGGCTTGTCCTGTTCCCCGTCATCCTCACTCATGTGAAGGACGCGAAGTGAGCTGCCCGCACGGTGAGAGATGAGGCGTGTGCGTCTCTTAAGGGCCCGGCAACGGTACAGCAACGACGGCCGCAAACCTGTCACGGATGCAGACGGACATGCAGTCCAACAGTCGTGATTGTGCAGTCCCATTTTCAGTACTTAAATACCTGAGGTGCTCTTGCGAGTCAGAGCCGAGTGCGGAGACACGAACGCTGAGAGATCTTGATGACCTGCAAGGGTGCACAAGCAGGCAGATCAACCAGAGAAGCAGTGGACTGTGAACCATGAGGGTGCTCACGTTCGCCGTGAACAGACGAAACAGACGAAACAGTCATCATCGCTACGGTCCACACCAGGATGGCCATCAGGAGACGATGAGATTAGAACATATGCTGCATCCTGCGATTAGAACACATGCAGATCCCGCATACATATCGTTGATCAGTGTGCTGTGGTGGCGCCCACCAGTGGAGTTTTTTTGAGTGTGAAGACATCAGGGTTGGTCATCAGCCGAGAGCGGTTTCACGAAACCTGTCATTAGTGCCACGCGTGAAACCGAAGGAGGGTCTTCGCAGCGCCTATGGCTTGGTCCAGCAAGAAACAGCGCCTATGGCTTGGCCTTTCTTGCTGGACCAAGCCATAGTCATATATAGTGTGAGGAAATGTGTTGCGTGTCTGTGTTGCATGTAAGGGTGCGTGTTTTTGTCTTGGGAGAGACACAGAGGACTTGACAGAGACAGGAGTTGGCCGTCAGGCCACCTAGGGTGCTCCCTGAAACCGCTACCAGCGTTGCGGGTGCACGAAACAATCAATGGCTGTTTTTCTACTGTGGACCTCATTGATTGTTTCGTGTTTTCACGTCAGATGTGAGTGCACTTTCAGTGTTCACAGTGTACTGCAGCACTGCTTCCCTGGTTGATCTGCCTGCTTGTGCACCCTTGCAGGTCATCAAGATCTCTCAGCGGGGTATAACACATTTCCTCACACTATATATGACTTGCTACCTTCCCACAACCGGGTTGTTTTCAACGAAACCCCTTGCTAACCCTCACAGAATCAGATGACCTTGAGGAGGCTCGTGACACGAGCAGTAGACACACAGGGGTCACTCACGTGTGCACCAGAGAAGGATAAATTCAAAATTTAGACTAAGCAAACAGGTGCAAGACTGCGAATTGTTCGTGTCTCGCCTTGTAATGACATCTATTCGGTTGCAGTCATGAGCGTAGCAGAAGAAGGAAAGCTCATCACGACTTAAATTTTCGGCCAGGGAGGTCATCACTGTTCCTGTTGCCGCCGTCTCCCACAATTGAGTGAGGTTGCTATGACGTCTGTCGGGAGGGAGGGAGGGACGAACTGATGCCATTGTATTTCTACTTGCTGTGGAGCAAGATGTGTGTCTTCAGCTAGGTTAGCGCCGTCAGGTGGTTCTTCCTTTTGATATGGCGTGTCGGTGATGATACGTCTGTTAATTTCTGTTCACAAGAACGCCGCGTCATCACCCATCAGTAACCAACCAAGGCCGCGGACATGCACAACATGCACATCTTTAGTGCATATCTTGGGCAAAAACAAGGCCACCCACGGCGTTGGTCGGTCATGTGATGGTGAGAGTCTTGTCCTTGTATGCTGGAAGATCCTCTTTGTAAGTGTCGAAAAGCCGCTTGATCTCGTTGACGAATCTGTCGTGATAGAGGTCGACCTCGAGCTGCGTTGGCTCCGTGTCGGGCGAGATGTTCACTTTGATCGGCTTTCCAACGGCAAACAGCACCTTGGTCCTGCAGCCAGCACACGTACAGAGGGTTTGTCGGGCTTTCTGATCCACCTACCCACACCTACCTGAATGGAACGAAGGAAAAGAATCTGCCCCAGTAGACGCACAGCGACATGCGCAGAGTCCGTGACAGTACCTACCGAAAGAACGCCTGATACCTCTACACTGCGTCTGTGACGATGACGTGCACCCACCTGGATCCATCGTGCATGTGACACTTCGTACATCTGCGTGTTCCCGAAGAGGTACACCTGTCGTGGTTGGTGTGAATGTGTACAGCCATCACCGACAAAGCAATCACATCGAATGTATACAATGATTGTGAATATGCACAACCATCGCGGGTACCGGGAGAATGTCTGCGTTGCCCGCGATTGCTGCGCGTATGAAGCCCTTCCGCTTCAGCAGATACAGCTCTTCTTTTCTTCGGTCGGACAGAAACAGTTCGGCGATTCCGCCTGGAACACATTCACATGCACACTCCCACTTACATCTGCGGTTGAGTGTCCGCGGGCACACGACCTGTATAGACAATAACGTTGTCTCTCTTCAGAGTTTTGACGATCGACGTCTTGTCGGCGCGGATCATCGAAAAGACGCCGAAGATGTGGCGAAGGAACGGCAATCTCAGGACAATCTCTGCTGCTGCCGTGGGACCTGCACATGGATCGAATCGACACATATGGGTGTGTGTGTGTGTGTGTGGTCAGGAGGGGGGGCGGAGGACCGTAGATGGGCGGATCCATCGCTATTTTCAACAGCAAAAGGACATCGATGAAACAAATGATCGAGAAAAGGTAGGCATCGGGAGTGTCGTACCAGCGGCAGACAAGCCGCCGAATGATATGAGCCCGTGTGGGACGATCGCCACGAGATAGCGCTTGGGATTCGCAAGCAGCTCCTCGGCAGGCACGTCTGAACACCCAACGTCACTCGCACATGATATGATTCATGTGGCGTATTCCATGCCGGATCTTACCATGCAAGATCTCTGCAGAGAAGTACTTTGCAACCGCCAGAAAGACCCACGACGTCCTCAATGCCCTCGAATCGACGGCAGGCAGCAAAGCCATCGACACCAGGACAAGCAACAGGTACCCACACGCCTGCACTCGCACAAGACAAATCACGGCACATGGTGCGCATTTCAGACCATTCAGACGCGCACACGTGTGACTTCAGTCAGTGCAACCACTCACGTGCACCGAGAAATAAAGCCGCCCGATGATCAAGACGACGCAGAGAAGCGGAACAGTGATGTACAAAGAAGCAATGAACGCACACACGGCCTGAACGCCGCACACACAAGTGTGAATGGGTCGACGGAAGACGCTGTTTTTCGCTCTTGTCTTGTGCTACCATTGCCACGATGCTCTCCAAAAGGTTTGCCTCTCCCGCTTTCTTGCTTGTGGCGTGCTCCGTCTGCAACACAAGAGTTTCATTAAGCGCGACACAGATGATCCGCGTACCGGCATGGTGGTCTCCGCCATCGGTCAGCTGCCGCCTCTACTTTCGCTTCGTCACTATTCTCCTTTCTATCCACCCATCCCGTTTCCCTTTAAATCCCGTTTTCCGCTACCTTAACTCTTGGCGTCCTCGGCAACAGAACAACAAAACTCGGGGAATTCGCACAGACAAAGAGGAGATTCGAGGTCACAAGTCGGGGAATGCGCACAGACGAGGTGGGATGCTCGTCGTCCCCTTCGACTGCCGAAGACGCGTGCCTACCTGATGGCGACAGCCCTAGTGGTCGGACCGATGACGGGCCGCCATGGCCGCTCATCATTGCCGGACCGTCGGGAGTGGGGAAGGTACAAAGAACACCAAGAGCGCAGACATCGAGCGTTGTCGTTACTGTCCCTCTTTGTCCTTACCCCAGGGCACTTTGATTGAGCGGCTGATGCACTCCCCGTACGGCCCTCACATTCGCAAGTGCGTGTCGCACACGACGCGCAAGGCACGGCCGGGGGAGGCCCATGGGAGGGAATACTTCTTCGTCGACAAGGACCAGTTCATGGCGGTGGGCGAGTGGGATGAAGAGGGTGGTGGGTATATTGGTAGGTACTGGATTGGGCATCCGGTTGTATTTGTCTGCGCCAGGACGTTGGTCGCGGTGTGTTTCTGGAGCACGCAGAGGTGCACGGCAATCTCTACGGAACCTCGATCGAGGCTGTCGGAAGGGTGAGACGAGCGATGCTGACGTGTCCGTCGATGGTTTGGGATAACATCAACGTCTTGGATGTTGTGTGTCCGCATCGATCGCTCAGGTGCAGCGTGAAGGGAAGATCTGCCTCATGGAGATAGATGTACAGGGTGCGCTACGCAGATGACCGGACGGACCAATGCACTCAAAAGCGGCATATGGGCCATTTCTCCTGCAGGTGTTCGTCAATTAAAGGCACTCCCTCTGGGCAGCCGTGCACACACTGTCTTTGTCGAGCCACCCGACCTCGTAGCACTCGAAAAGAGGCTCAGGGGCAGGTGAGAGAGGCCGGGAATTAGCCATCCTCTGGCAAACGGGATACCAGTACTGTGGTGCGTTGTGCAGGGGTACGGAAGAGGAGGAGAAAGTTCGCACGCGTCTAAATGTGAGAGGAGAGAACACATGTAAATCGGTGGTGCGATTGCCTTCATGTCGATCGTCAGAACGCGACGGGTGAGATGTGCCGCGCGCACGAGCTGGGGTTTGATCTCTTCCTCGTGAATGACGACTTCAACCGTAAGCACAGGACAAAATGGACAGCACGCACAGTCGCATTGCAGGCATAGTGCTGCATCATGTGTGGGGATATCGACAGGGTCGTACGGGGAGCTCGTTGCCACTCTGGCTCAGTGGTACCCGTCTGTGGTGCGACGGCACACCAGTGCATCTGGGCATGAGTACGACGAGAGGAAGCAGCTGACGGTGAAGGATGCGTGTAAGGGCAGGGAAAGGAGCCTCAGCAGCGGACACTAATACTGACTGACTTAGGGGATTTTGCTGGTTTCGCTTGGGGGCCCTTCCCCTATTCATTTGTCTGACGGTCTGTGCGTGTGTGCGTGGCGCATTTTTGAATGGGGCTTCATGTTGTATAGGAAGGCTAAGGTCGATAGGTAGTCAAAGTGAGTTGACTTTGCTCAAGTTGCGTGCACTGCACTCCCTACACCGAGAACTGGGAGACAAGGTATATCACCCCTACTCACACGTGTGAGGAACACAAAGATCCACTTCAACGTCGCCGCCTCGCTCGCCCAGAAACACGTAGTGGTTCTCCATGCTGTACATCAATCAGAGAGGAAGGTGTGCAGGCACGCCGGCGTCACTCCTTGCTGGCACACGTGATCTTACTTGACTGCAGCCACCTTGGCGGCTAAACGGACGCGGATCCGCGTCCACGGCTTGTCGGCTTCGAGGGCATCTTGTGAGGACAGCACATCATATTCTTGCAGATAAATGAATTCTGACACAGGCAAAAAACGAAAATCATTCTTTTCGCCATTCCCTTGTCGTAGGTGGAGTTGCTTTCCACCCTGGGTGTTGGGTGTGTTGAAGTGGAAGCCATACGTCCCGACGTTGCCAGGATTGATGCGCGTCAGCGACGACTGCAGTCAATGGATCGGCAGACACGAGACAATCGGTGTGCCTCGTGTCTCGGTAAGACATGACAGACAGGCAGGCAAGTACCACAGAGTTTCTGAGACATGACTCGAACGCGTCTGATGCCCTCTGACCGAACACTCTTGTAGTCCCACCTGAGCACAAGATACACAAAGAAGCCAGAAGAACAAACAGCAGCAAGGTCGGTCCTCGGAAAGAGGAAAGCGAGGCTCTTGTTGGCTCACCTCCGTCTGATATGCGGCCCGCGTGGATAGCCGACACGCATATGCTCGAGTCGCTGCCGTAGGTCTGTTGCAAAGATACATTTCAAGGAGGAGACAAGATGAAATTGTGCCCCGTGTGCGCCATTGGAATTGTGTAAAGAGACTGACCTCACAGCCGTATATGTTGAGGTTTGTGGTGAGGCAGCCGGGCGGACACGTCACTTCCACACCATCTGAGAACGAACACGCCCGGGCCAAGCATTTGAGAAGACGCCTATGCGTTCGTTCTCGCCCTTGACGTGTCAGTGCTCACCGTATACAAGGCCATAGCGCTCCATGTAGGTAGTGTCGCACATCAGTGACTGCTGCGCATCTGTGAACCAACCAGCCAACCAACCAATGACATGAATAGTCACAGCAGGCCAGACGTGGACGTCATTCAACACCTGCTCACCTGGTTCCCGATTAATGGCTGTTTTCCGATACCATTTTGCGCAGAACCTGAAGGCATGCAGGCATGAACGAGATGGGAAGGCAATGATGATGCTGCACGTGTAATGTGCAATGCATGTACCATGTGTCGACGCTCTTGACATACACAGGCATGGCTTTGTTGAAGGTGCGAGGGCAGTCCTTGGTGCGGAGAAAGAACACCTCATTGCTGGCGTAGAGCGATATCAACCTATGTATCCGCACACACACATCCGTCTCCATTCAAATGCGCGCCATGAAGTGGGCCGGTCGCTCACGCGATGACGTAGAGAAGGCAAAGACCCCACAAGATATCCAGCAACTGCACGGAGAGAAGCAACGGAATAGAAGGTGCGTCTTTATCGCGGCGATTCACTCGCTGACCGTGGTAACAGTGGTCCCCAAATGATGTTTGTTCTTCTGCCGTGTCCATCCTGCCCATGCGCCCGCCGTCACGCACGAACTGACAAGGCCGCAGAAGCCAATCAACACACGCAGACCTCCCTCAGAAGAAAACACCTGAAGCCAAAGTCACAATCCATTTGTTCGCTGGCCTGTACGAATGACTGCCGTGTCTCGCTTACAATGAGTGAGAGAATGATAATGTTCGGCAAGGTTGAGACGACAAGGCGGGCACCCATGAGCTTCCTACCGGCTCACGGCACAAACGAAGGCACAGGCCTCCATTTTCTGCGAACATCGAGATCAGTAATATCAGTACCTAAAGTGGTCTTGCTTGAGGCATTCCACACTGATAAATGTGGCGCCGAGAACGGCAGCCCCAAAAAGAGTAAAGACCAACAAGATTGACGCAAGACTCCCATCCGCCCCATACACAGCCAATCGCGCCTCATACAAATTATACAATCGATCCCCAGAGCCACGAATCTACCAGGGAGAGACAGGAGATTTTCCAACTCGATGTATTTCATGCTGGCGACTCACCTGTCCGAAAAACGAGAGAGTCAGGATCAGATCAATAAAAGAGAGCAGAAACATTGACCCGACCTCTCGAGGACTCGCCCGTCTGACCTATGAAAGGCAGAGACGCCGATGAGTCAATGTCGTGTAGATCTATTTCTCTGCGGCTCACCCGCCCTGCCGGCTTCTCTTGCATGAACAGTCTCAGATCCGGAACACCCTCGTCCTTCGGGGCCTTCCCTCTTCCCTTCTCCCAGGCCTTTCCAGCGTTGACACCCATCGGCGTCTCCTCCATTGGAGTTATTTTGCTGGCCACCTTGTTCTTTCCCCCTGATGGCACGGGGGGCGGCGCTTGTGGCTCGGCCGTGGGCGGTCCTGCCTCCTGGTCTCCTCCTTCTCGGATTGCTTCCTTGTTGGCATCATGCACTTGGTCGCTGCTCGAGGCAGGGGCTTCCACATCCGTCTTCTTGCGTGTCTTCTGCTTCATCATGATGATTGGAACCGACTTTCCTTCTTTTAAGGGCCGTGGTGAGGTAGGGCAGCTAAGTCAACTTGAGAGAGGTCCTCCGGTTGAAACCGCCACCCCAAACGGCCACAAACCCTACCGGCCGTTGACCTTCTCATCATTTCTCCCCAGCTTCCGACAACTTCCAGCTCTCTGCTTTCTTCGCTTGCCCACATGGCTCGACTCTTCGCAATTTTCCTGGTCCTGGCCGTCGCTGTCGGGCAGCATCACAGCTCGAAGAAGGGCGGCGGGAAGAAGCCCGGCGCCACTGGGCCCGGCAAGGGGGGTCCGAAGATCGTGAAGGACAGGAAGCAATTCCCACAGACACCTATCACTATCCCTTGCAGCACAGGTGGTGTCCGGAGTAGAGCAGAAGAAAAGGAGAGTGTTCGGACTGATGCTCTGTGGTGTGGTTGTGTGTGTTGCAGAGGTCGAGCAGCCCATTCCTGACATCCCGAACGGTGCCGACCTCTCAGGTACGAATGGCCGGCAGTCTGTCCGTCAGAAAACAGGATGTGCAAACAACAATGGAGATGTCTGTCTCGTCAGGCGTCTTCCGGCTAAGTATGACCCCAGTCAGAGCCTCCTGTTTGTGACGCTGCGGCTCGACAACCTGACGGACGTCATCGGTGTGCATTTCCACTTGTGCGAGGAAGTAAGCACTCGATGAGCACACCGATCAGCACGTTGCACACAACGAATGAGCAAAGCAACAAGCATTCTCCGCTTCTCCATATCAGGGCACCTTGACTGGGACGCCCACACCGACCCTCGAAGAGCCGGGCCCTGCTGCTCCGTGTACAGGAGGAGTTGTCGGATTTATCCTTTCCAACAGGTAGGTCAAACAAAGAAATGGTGTCGACATAGCCAGCTGTCATCAAGTACTTTTCAACAGCTTTCAGACCTTCCCCAGCGACGAGGTACTTCCCCCCACTCCGCTTACGGGAGCAGAGCTGTCCGGCAACACGATGATCCCTCCCGGCGACCCAGTGCCTCTCACCGGGGTGGTGGTCAGAGGTGAGTCGTTCAGGAAACACGTTGGACGGCCTCTTGGCACACATTGCACGTGGCTGTTGCAATCAGATGCACCATTTGGCGATCTTGATTTGGTCGGCGAACTGGCGGGCCACCCTTTGCTCGCCCTGGTGAATGCCATCAAGGCTGCGCGAGTATACATCAATGTCCACACGGTGCGCAACCCTGCGGGAGAGATCCGCTGCAACTTGCTAGGTGAGACATTGCGCACTGAGAGACGGTTGAGCATCGTGGGCTCACATCTTGTGCCGGATTGTTGCGTGTGTCTCTATTGTTGCGTGTGTCTATCAGGTCCATTTGCTCCGTGAGAGGCGGCCTGGGCATCGCACGGCTCTATTTCTGTCCGCATCCCATTCCACCCACCGTCTTTGTCTGAAAATGCTCCATACGTGCATCATCGCATTCATTGTGCGATCCGTATGTGCATCATCGTACGTAGGTCTTGTTCCATACCATGTATGTATTTGTCTGCACAGTACTTGTTTGTACTTATCTGTGATAAGTACACATGCCACTGATTCTCGTGGACGCCTTTCCCCCTCCAGGGAATTTTCCGCTGTCACGCCAGGGCATGACCATTGTCTGTATCTCGCACCAATTGATTTGCCTTCGGCCATAGCATGTGCGTCGGCCGGGTGCAAGGTTTTCATTGCGTAGACTGGATTTTTCTGTTATTCTCAGTGACTGATGACATCATCATCTCATCATTTTCTGGGTGAGTGGCATGAATGACCTGACTAACGTGTTTCTACAGTGATGCGACGGGGTATCTTTGCTTTCATGATCTCGGGCTGTAGGAATTGGATCGCTAATGGTCGCACCGTAATTCCTTTGACAATGATAGCTCTTCTTGCATCAGGAGTCTCCCGTATGTACGTTTTTGGACACATTACAAAACATAAGGTCTGCAACGCAGTCAATTCTGTACTCGATCTGTACACAGACATGTCAGCCATGGCATAGCGCGCACTGCAATCTTCCGCTCATTTGTTCGGCTTCCTTTGCCTCCACGGCCGTCGGCCGCCCTCCGGCTTGGGAGCTGACGGCTGCAACAGGGACGGGGCTGGCTTGGCACCGCTTTGCACCTGAAAGGCCGCCAGCCTGACAAGGACACCACATATGTATTGAGCAGGCAGACGTTCCCTCTTACCGTCCGATCTGGTCATCATCGTCTTCTCTCTTCCGCTTTGCGCTTTCGACTCGCTTGGCTATGGTCACCATATAGCCCTGATCACACCCACACAAGACCACATGCACTCGCACACGCGAACGACCATTCCTCGTCGTGCGTCCTCTACCTCGATGACAGGATTGCACTTGCCGTACGAGCGTCTTCCATGTACCATCAAGCTTGTCGTCGCCCTGATATGGAGAAGCGGAGAATGCTTGTTGCCGTGCTCATTCGTTATGTGCAACGTGCTGATCGGTGTGCTCATCGAGTGCTTACTTCCTCGATGGGGTAGGGAGGGCTGCAGTGGCCACGCCCAGCGTCCATTTGTGCATGTCCATGGCCTGTCTTTGCTTCTCCTCCAATGCCTTTCGTCGCTCATCTTCTTCACCCATTCGCATGAATCGCATCTGTCACATTCAGGAGGGGTGCGAATTTCTTCAGGCGAGGGTGGGGGGGGGGGGGGGCCCCTTTTT